GCTTTAGGGGTAGTATTAGGACAGAGAAAAAATAAAGTGTTACATGTAATTCAGTATGCTAGCAAAACACTTGTTGATGCACAATTGAATTACACCATCACTGAAAAAGAATTATTGGCTGTAGTTTTTGCTTTTGACAAGTTTCGTTCTTACTTATTAGGTGCAAAGGTGATCGTATACACGGACCATTCAGCACTCAGACACCTACTGGCAAAGCAAGAAGCAAAACCTCAGCTGATAAGATGGATTTTACTACTTCAAGAGTTTGAGTTGGAAATTCAAGACAAGAAAGGGTCGAAAAATGTGGTAGCTGATCACTTATCGAGAATTGAGAGACCAATCAAGGGAAATGAGGAGGAAATGCCAATTAGAGAAACATTTCCGGATGAGAAGTTGATGAGAGTGGAAGAAGCACCATGGTATGCGGATTTTGCAAACTATTTGTCATCAAGGGTGCTCCTAAGTGGTATGACATACCAACAAAAGAGGAATTTTTTCTCAGATTTAAAGTACTACTTTTGGGAAGAGCCGTTCTTGTATAGACACTGTACTGATCAAATGATACAGAGATGTGTCCTGAAGGAGGAAATAGAGAGCATTTTAAGGCATTGTCATGAAAAGGAAGTAGGTAGCCATTTTGGGGGAGCTAGAACAGCAGCCAAGGTGTTACAATCAGGGTTTTATTGGCCAACCCTCTTTAAGGATTCGTTCTGGATGATTCAAGAGTGTGACCAATGTCAACGGATGGGAAATATTTCAAAAAGAGATGAAATGCCGTTGAACAACATCCTGGTGGTTGAAATTTTTGACGTTTGGGGGATTGATTTCATGGGTCCCTTCCCAAGTTCTTTTGGGAATACGTATATCTTGGTAGCGGTGGATTATGTGTCGAAGTGGGTTGAGGCAGTAGCATTGCCAACTAATGATGCTAGGGTAGTGATTAATTTTGTGAGGAAAAATATTTTCTCTAGGTTTGGGGTACCACGAGCAATCATTAGTGATGGAGGATCTCATTTTTGCAATAGGCAAATGGATGCTGAAAGTGAAGCCAACGACCATGTCGTTGCAACTAGCGGATAGGTCAAAAAGCACCCGAGGGGGATAGTAGAAGATGTATTAGTGAAGGTGGGGAAGATAATTTTTCCAGCAGACTTTGTGGTGTTGGACATGGAAGAGGATAAGGAATTCCTCTCATTTTGGGCCGACCATTCTTAGCCACGGGGAGAGCACTGATTGATGTGCAGGAAGGAAGTTACTGTTGAGGGTTCAAGATGAACAGTAACTTTCAATGTTTTTGAATGCAATGAAGTTTCCGTTGAGAATCTTGCTGTAGAACCTGAAGAAGTAGTTGTTGAAATGGCTGAACAAGAAAATAGAACACTGAGGGAATTTTCAGTTCCCACAGTGAATGGTAGTGGGTCGAGTATCACTAGACCTACAGTGCAAGCAAACAATTTCGAGATCAAGCCGGCAATCATCCAGATGATCCAGCAGTCAGTTAGATTCAACGGTGATTTGAAGGAAGATCTGAATCAGCACATTGCAAATTTCCTATAAATTTGTGACACCTTCATGTCAAATGGAGTGTCGGATGATGCTATTAGGCTGCGGTTATTCCCATTGTCATTGGGAAATAAAGCCAAGGGGTGGTTAATGGCATTACCACCAGGAACAATAACAACGTGGAATGATCTAGCATAGAAATTCCTGACCAAGTTTTTTCCTCCAGCTAAATTAGCGAAATTGAGAAATGATATCACATCATTTCTACAAGAAGAGTCCGAGTCACTGTATGAGGCTTGGGAAAGATACAAGGAGTTAATGAGGAAGTGTCCACACCATGGTTTGCCAGTTTGGCTTCAAGTCCAAACATTTTACAATGGTTTGATGGGTAATGTGCAAACCATGGTGGATGCAGCTTCAGGAGGGGCCTTGCAGAATAAGACACCAGATGAGGCGTATGAGTTGCTTGAGGTTTTGGCAAGCAACAACTATCAAATACCAAATGAGAGAGTTACAACAAGGAAATCTTCGGGTCTTCATGAAGTTGATGCCTTCACAGCCATCTCGGCCCAACTCACTGCACTTAAAAAACAGTTAGGAACTATGCAGGTAAACTCTATACAAGCACCTCAACTAACATGTGATTTTTGTGCAGGAAACCATGTGAGCAGTGAGTGTCAAGTTGGAAACACATTTGCTCTGTCATCTTCATCAACGGAGCAAGTGAATTACTTGACAGGAAATCAGAGACAACCGAACAACCCATACTCCAACACATACAACCCAGGGTGGAGAAATCATCCAAATATGGCTTGGGGAAATCAGAACCAGCAAAATAACCAATGGAACCAGAGGCCAGTTCCAAATAACCAACCAGGGGTGACCAATCAACCGGGAGATCAAAGAGTGACGAAGTTGGAGGATATGTTTGGTAAATTCATGCAAAAGACCACAGGGTTCATGAATGAGACGAGGACAAATTTTAGAAACCAAGGGGCGTCTATTCGGAATCTGGAGGTACAGATGGGCCAATTGGCCGAGAAGCTTAATGACAGATCGCATGGTTCTCTACCAAGCAATACGGTGACTAACCCACATGAGCAAGTAAATGCAATTTCGTTGAGAAGTGGAAGAGTTTTAGAAGAGGTGAGAGACCCAAGGAAAGAGGAAACTTCATTAAAGAAAAATGAAAATTCTGATGAGGAAATTGATGAAGAAATTGAAGCGGAAGAGAAACCACCCAACCTAAATAAAGATGAGCAGAAGCAGGAAGAAGGGAAAAAGAAAAGGGAAGAGAAATTGCCATTCCCCAAAATCCCACCAGAGTTGGTGCATCACACAGCACCCGTACCCTTTCCTCAAAGACTCAAAAAAGAGAATCAGGATAAGCAGTTTATTAAATTTCTTGATGTTTTTAAAAAACTGCATATTAACATTTCTTTTGCAGATGCATTGCAACAGATGCCGAGCTACGCGAAATTTCTTAAAGAAATTTTATCAAACAAAAGGAAGTTAGAAGATGAGGAAACGATGATGCTTACGGAAGAGTGTAGCGCCATTCTCCAGAAGAAGCTGCCCCCGAAACTCAAGGATCCAGGGAGTTTTACTATCCCTTGCACTATAGGGGATTTAACATTCGATCGAGTTCTATGTGATTTAGGTGCTAGCATTAACCTTATGCCTTTTTCTGTGTTTAGGAAACTAGGAATTGGTGAAGTTAAGTCGACAACCATAAGNACCCCATAAAAATCCAAACGAAGTCAAAACCCTACCCGTTTTGCTTGAATTGATATTCCGTTTTCCATATTGCTTTCTTAATTAAGTTTTAAATCTTAGTTTAAAATTCATTGTTGTTTTTAATTAGAATTTGCTCCCACCAATCCAAAGAATTCGATTGCTTCAACTTGAGAACATTAGGAAACTCAGTGCTTTGCTAACAATCCTCGTGGGAACGATACTCTTCTCATCATTTTATTACTTGAGCGACTAGTATACTTGCTACATTTTGCATGTTGTAAGAAACACGCATCACTTACTGAGCATTTATAGCTCACCCCGTTGATTTCTTTATTTTGCAGGTATTAGATTGTAGTGGTCGGGAGACGTGAAGCTAGTGAGAGGATTGCACACACTGTCTCAATGAAGAATTTTAATGTGGATTGATATATGTGAGAAATAGTCATTGTGTAAGGCTGTGAATTATCTTGGCTACGCTCATTATTTATTGAAAGATTTAAGAATATTGCATTTGAAGCCAACATTGTCATATTGTGATAACACAACCGCCTTACATATAGCTGTCAATCCCGTTTTCCATGAAAGAACCAGACATATAGAGATGGATTGCCATTTTATTCGTGACAAAATACAAGATGATTAAGTTGTAAGAGCATCTCCAAAGTACTCTTTATATAACCCAAACTCTTTATTATAAAGAGTCTATCCATAAAAACAATAGTCCAACATACTCTTTATCTTTAAAATATAAATTAGAGAGTAAGTTTGACTCTCCACATTCAGAGAGTCAAATTTTATTCTCTATCCTAATTTTAATTAATAAACTACAAGTTCCTATGCATTTTATTTATTAATCCTCTCTCCCATTAAGTCTCTTTCTTAAAAATAAAGAGTATCTTCATTAAATTTAAAGAGTCAATTGGATTTAAATAAAAATTATGTTCTTTATATTTAAAAATTAATGAATATGCTCTTTATTTATATGAAATATGCTTTTTAAAATAAAGAGTACCATTAGAGATGTTCTAACCAAACATATTGCCTCAACAAATCAACTTGCGGATGTGTTCACCAAGCCATTGGGAAATGAAGCTTTCTCAACTATGATAGGCAAGTTGGGAGTTCTTGACATTCACTCTTCAACTTGAGAGGGAGTGTTGAGAAGGGAAGGTCAATGATATCTGGCCATTCATTGACAAATATATTGTATTAGTTGTATATTTGTTTAGTTACCTTTTATAGACTACCATTCATTGACAAATATATTGTATTAGTTATATATTTGTTTAGTTGCTTTTTATACTTAGACTACCTAGAATAGATTAGCATGATCGTAGAAAATCTCTTGTATAAAGCTACGTCTCCTAATTCAATAAAATTATTCAAAGGCAAATATTATTTTCCTTCTTTAGAAATGCGTTGCTTGGGGTGATTTATATCCACCCCAGTTTAAATGGGCTAGTTTCACAAAATATTTATAGGGTTTTGGACTATTATCAAGTATCAACAACACCTTGATTGATCTCCAAATGACTTAAATTGTTTTTTTTTTTTAATTCTATTAAGTTTTAGTTCAATTAAATACTTGTGATTTTAAATTAAGTTTAAAAAGAATTTATAAAATTGATAGATAAAAAGTGTTACCCAAACTCATTCTGAACCTAATGGATATGAAGTTGTCATAGAAGGCTATATGTTTTTGTTTCATCTGTATATGGTGTTCGTTTTGAAATAACAGAAACGAAATTTTTATTCCGGAAAATTAATTTTCATTCTAGACACAAAGATGTAAACTTTAGAGCATGATGACATTATCAACAACTAAAAGACAGCAACAGTTGTCTGTGTCAAATAGAGAATTCATTAGACAGCATCAGCCATAGCAAAAGCCTTGATTGATAAGATCTTTTTGATCTTGAGTTGGCCTAGAACCCGTTGACAGTGTATCCTCCATCAACGCAATAAACCTGCCCGGTGATATATGAAGCCGCTGGGAGGCATAAGAATGCTACCACTGATGAAACCTCATTAGGCTCTCCGGCACGGGTAATAGGAGTGCGGGATATTAGCTGAGTTACAGTTTTCTTTGATTGGGGATCTTCCTGGAAAACCGAATATTAACAATTAAGAGTCATTTCTTTTTACTACAAAAGATTTATGAAAAATGACAATTATGTGGCACTATTGACATAATGGGGTATTTTTGTTTTCTAATTTTCTGTCCTATTGAAATGTTTCTTTGAATTGCATCCCAGTTAATAATGTGTGCTATCTGCAGCAAAAACAGTGGGGGGAGTTTTCAAATATGAAATGAGAAATTTTAACAAATAATTCACATAAAACAATAAAGAAGGGCATAGATTTGTACTTCTAGAGCAACGATTAGTGGGGTTCTGATAATCCATGGCGCAACTGCATTCACACGAATATCGTCCTTTGCCCACTCACACGCCAAGTTCTTTGTCACTTGATTCATTGCTCCTGAAGTGCAAATGATGAGTAGATTTACTTGTAACTAGTTTCTAATATTGTCGCTTTCTCGCGGAAACAGAATTTAAAAGATTGAACTTTACCTTTAGTTGCTCCATAAATAGAACATCGAGGTAGAGCTATTAGGCCTGCTACAGAGGAAACAAAGACAATTCTCCCTTTTCCAGATGCTTTTAATAGGGGATGTACAAGTTGAGATAGATGATAAGCTGACTCGAAATTGGTAATCATTAAAGTTGAGAAATCCTCGGCAGTGAAATCCGTGCTTTCTTTAGCTATAGTGGTTCCAGCATTGTTCACCTAAGTAAAATAAAATTTGTCATGGGAAAGTCTCAAGTTTTGAAAGCAAAGGACCCTAAAAGTTGCAAGCTTACTGTGGATGGAAGCAGAAACACTTTTAGAAAGTGAAATATATACGCCTCTAACATCACTGTGTTAGAAGGCCTATATCTGAAAGTAAGAATCAACTGGAATGACATGACATCTTAGAATAGTACAGTGAGATCACCACTTTTTAACCTGTGAATATGGGCCAGGAATATTGACTTTCCCATATGTGATTTATCTAAGGTAGTTTTAACCACTATTATGGTTTTTAGTTAAATTTTCAGCCACCAAAGCCATGATTGCCACATCTGGTTGCAGGGTTGAAACTTATGAAAGCTAAACTTACAAGGATGTCGAGCTTGCCATCAAACATCAAAGAGACAGTTTCCATCAGCTTCTCCCGCTGAGCTCTAATTTTCATGTCACAAACTGAGCCGCTTACTTTTAGCCCCTTACTCTTCCATTCCCCAATTCTGTCATCGAGCTCCGTTTGGTTGCGTGAACATGTGTGTACTGTTGCTCCAAATTCTGCTAGTTCTTCTACTATCGAAAACCTGATACATGTCAACGAGGTAACAAAAGAATATTAAACATCATTTGAAACAAATAAAATAGATTGTAAACGTTCAGGATTGCCAACGAAGACAATACTAACCCGATGCCTTTGGTTCCTCCAGTGACAAGAGCGGTCATTCCCTCCAGAGACCATCTTTGCTTTCTGACTTCCGACATTTTTTTTTCCTTCAATTACAACTGCAAATTTCTTCTCAAACCACCCTGCAACTGCAAGTAAAACAATTTCAAGTATTTTAAATATGAAGGCTGAAACATTTGCAGCAAAAAATCTGCCGAAAAAGCTTTGTCATGCGTTTGTCATGAAGAAACTAAAAGAATTAAACTATAGAAAAAGTCACTGGGAAACATTTAAAATCGGCCGGCCATTGTTTAAACGATATTAACTAGTTCCTTGTTTACTCAGATACGAGGATTATAATGAGACGGTCACATGTAATTTTAAAAACGGCTGTTTTTGGTTACACCTAATCACAAAAGATATAGGGGACATTATTAAACTTCCAGAAGGTGTGCAATACTGTTTCTTGTGGTGATGTAGTACCATAATAGTCTAGAAGAGAGTCCTACGCAGTCTTGTTATTCCTTGAAATTGCCCTTCTCCTCTTTGTTTCTGCCAGTTCTCTCTTCTCTAATCATTTATCCCCAGTAACTAAATGAAAGCTCTCTTAATTATTTGCATTCATGGTTTATTTATTTGAATATGAATCAAGAAAAATGGGGTAGGCTGTTAAAGAGGGAATTCGGAAAGCAAGGAGCGGACTGATATAGTGGATAGAATGAGCCTTCTTCTTAAAAGAATGCGGACTTAATTGTTATGGATAGAATCAGCCGCAAGAACATAATTGAGTACTCGTATATGAAGTTGAGACAAAATTATGCTGTGGAATGCTGTTTAATGTGATGATATCCTTCTCAGAAAATATGATGTGGACTCCAAAATCCTAGTGAAATGTTATTCTTCCAAATTCATGTTTGATTTTTCTCATATATATTAAGCAGCTTCCCTTGGTAAGATGGAAGCATCAATCCTGAAAGTTGCATGAAGAGATTTTTATCCTACGTTTCAAAGACAAAAGCAGCGATTCTATTTCACATAAGAAGAAGCTAACTAAAGTTACTGAACCACGCTATTTTCTGCGGTGATTCCCTAAAAATAGGTTGATAATATTACATTAATTAGGAAAGTGATTTTTAGCTCTGGTCAGATTCATCACAATCCCCTTTACTAAATACACCTCTATTAGATTATAAAAAAATTCTTTTTAAATCTCATTTAATACCGAAAATAGCCCATAGGTTTAATTATGACTTTTATTTGCACACTTTTTCCCCAATTATGACTTAATTAGGGTTTTTATTTACACCATTTTTCCCCAATTTCTTAATTAGTTTTTTTTTTTTGTTTATACCATTTACTTTTTCTTTTTCAAATTCATTCTATTGTGTGATTACTTTCTACATAGCTTCAGTAATATATTTTTCTCAAACAAAGAATAATTTAAAAAAATAAAAAGTTTCAATGATTTGGAAATTTGAGACGCTTAGAATTAAAGATTAAAATTTAAAACAAAAACATAACATAGACAATGAGTGTATATATCAATTATTATGTTATTAAGGTTAAACTTGTCAAAACAAAAATACATTTAAAAAATAGGGAATATTGATCAATTTGATGACAGCTAAAAATCAAGGGTGTTCAAAAAAATGCAGAAATTGAACCGAACTGGTTTTTTGATTATCCGAAAAACCAGTTTGGTTTCAGTTCAAAGAAATATATATAAATCGGAAATTCGGTTTGGTCACCGGTTTATAGATATTTTAAAACTAGTTAACTGGAACCTGTTTATAAAACCGGTTTTCACTTTAAAGTTTAAAAACCCTAAATCCCCAAATCATTTCTCTTTACTCTTCACCCTTTGCACATTTCTCCTCTTCTTTTTTTTTTTTTTTCACACAAACACACACATTTCTCCTTAGTCCTCACCGATTTTCACTTTTCTCTTCCCTCTCAAAATAAAAAATAGTTAAATTTGGGAAAAATCAAAATAAAAAATAAGTTAAAGGGAAAATTGGTTCAAAACTGGTTAACTGGTTTTTACTAACCGATTAAACAGTTTTTCAGTTAACTGAAAAATCGGTTTTCTCTTTAATCGGTTCGTTTTCGGTTCAGGAAAATTCTTGAACCGAAAAATCAGTTCGGTTCAAAAAATCGGTTAACTGGTTATGAACACCCCTACTAAAAATCACTTCCTAGTACATTATTTAATCAAATAATTATCGGAAAAAAGATAACAAAAATGAGAAGGTTTCAAGTCCATATTGGTCGGGCTCATTTTTTATTTTCTTGGGCGTCTTATCCTTCTATAAAGGGTGGTGTTATTTAAGCCCACCAAATTGTTCTCAAAGCTCCAATACTATTTTTTTTTAAATTAGTAATTACTAGGAAGGGTATTTATTTTTTTAGTACACACCATGTATTAAGGAACTCTTTTTCTCAATATCCTAAACCCTTCAATGTTATTTTCTACAACTATAATTTGAAAGCTTTGTTTGAAATTATGTTGTCGTGATTAAAATATTGGGTAAAGCTATTTGTACAAACTCTTTGTATAAATATAGTTTGTACAAATTGACGTAACATGTCACAAAGCATGTCACATGTCACACCGTGTGAATGTTATCTGACATGAGAGCCCACATTCATGTAATGAATGTGGGCTCTCATGTCAGATAACATTCACATGGTGTGTTACATCAGTTTATACAAAGTTTGTATAAACTTTGTATAAACTGATGTAACACACCATGTGAATGTCATGTGACATGAGGGTCCACATAACATTAATGTAATATTAAGTTATATGGATCCCAAAGTCACATGACATGTTTTGTGACATGTCACATCAATTTGTACAAACTCCTCTTGTATAAGAGTTTGTACAAATAGAATTACCCTAAAACATTGTTGTAGAGATGAAAGTAAGATGGATTCAAACAATGAATATAAAATAATATTGAATATTCCTATTAATATTTCGGATTTGATTTAGGAAATTCAGTTTAACATTCATCCCATGTTAATTGATATGTCAGGTAAAAAGTTTTTTACTTTCTTAGTTCTCATGGAAGTTAGAAATTGACTTGGATAAAAATTACTGTTTCTATGAATTTATAAGAAATAAGCCATCTAAGAAAGAGAACGGAGATTTTATCAAAAACGCAATTGAAATTTAACTTTGGAGATAAAATATGAATGTTGGAATTAACAAAGAGCAATTATATAATGAAATGATATTAATTTAGCATCTTCCATAAATTCCGGTTTAAAACCCAACCTTGCAAACTTGCGGGCCTTACAGTTCAAACTTATCGAACTTACCGAGCTTCAAGGATAGCCCTGGCCTATGGCCTGAGCAGAGACTAGAACCCATTCACAGTGTATCCTCCATCAACGCAATAAACTTGGCCGGTGATATATGAAGCCGCTGGTAAGCATAGGAATGCAACCACTGCTGAAACCTCTTCAGGCTTTCCAGCACGCGAGATGGGAGTACGAGATATTATTCGATTTACAACTTCCTTGGCTCTATAATCTTCCTGGTTAAAGACAAAATTACCAATTAATACAAGCATCATAAGATTTATGTACTCAAATATGGCACCAAGGTGGCATTCGGGGAAGTTTTTATTTTCAATCCACCCAAGCCATCGGACGGCAATTGCCAAAACGACGCAAATCAACTGGATCTGGCCGATCGTGTATCAATTTGACTTTTTTCAGTCAGATTTACCGTGGATCTAGCAAAAAAAGGCCATAATTTGGCTGCTGTTAACAGCCAATATATGGCCGTCAACAAGGGCCAAAATCTGGCCGTTGGATCTAGCCAGAATCTGATCATTTTCAGCTAGATTGGTGCATGACCGACTAGATACAACCGGTCATGCGTTGTTCCAAAGTTGACGACTGGCGGTGAGAGTGGCGACAGTCAACGGCGGTTGCTGGCAAGTGATGGTGGTCTTGGGTGGATTAATTTTCAAATTGGGAGAAGTGAAAAGTAATTGTTTTTAGTTGAATAGATTTGGAAAAATGTTTTGAGTTGAATAGAATAAGATAATATAAATCAAGCCTCCCCTATTTTCATTTTCAATAGAAAAAAAATCTATTTGATTTAGATTAATTAATTTTCAGAATAATGATCTCAATAAATAAACAAACAAACATTCTATTTTTTTAATATAAATAGGGTAACAGAAAAATGGTTCAAAAGAGTGAATAAGAGGGACAATAGTTGTGACAGAAAAGAAAAGGATGAAGGAAGGTACCTCTGCAGCATCGATGAGTGAGGTTTTAATCACCGCTGGTGCCACCGAATTCACACGAATATTGTCCTTTGCCCACTCGCATGCGAAGTTCTTTGCAACTTGATTCATTGCTCCTGAAGTGAAAAAGAAAAATTGTAAACCCTATTTATGACCTGCTAAAGATCAACCGCTTATAGTTATTGACTTATTGTTGCTTTCCAATATAAATGAGAAAAAAGAAATTTGAACTGTACCTTTAGTTGCTGCATAGATGGAACATAGGGGAACACCAATTACGCCTCCGACAGAGGAGATCAATACAATGCTTCCATTTTCCGATGCTTTTAAGAGGGGGTGCGCAAGTTGAGACAGATGGTAAGCAGACTCGAAATTGGTTGTCATTAAAGTCGAGAAATCCTCGGCAGTGTATTCTATGATTTCCTTAAACAATCCTATTCCAGCGTTGTTCACCTAACAAGAGTTGCAAGCTTAGTTTAGTTCTGAAAGTGATGTAAACCTTAGATACTACGTACTGTGATGTAAAAGAAAGTTTAATATTCATAATCATAATGAAAAAATTTATTTTCAATAAGAGTCAGGAGCAAATTAAACCTCTCATGGTATGGGAGATTATAAAGTTTTAACATTCCCCCGAATTTACCCTATATAGTTTATGATTTTCTTTACCACCAGCGGTTGTTTTTTTGGTTGAATTTTCAGCTGTCTCGATTGCCATATATAGTGGAAGGCTTACAGCTTTTGGGTGCTAAAAACTTACAAGGATATTGAGCTTGCCATCAAACATCAAAGAGACAGTTTCCATCAGCTTCTCCCGCTCAGCTCTAATTTTCATGTCACAAACTGAGCCGCTTACTCTTAGCCCCTTACTCTTCCATTCCTGAATTCTGGCATCGAGCTCTGTTTGATTACGTGAACATGTGTGTACTATTGCTCCAAATCCTGCTAGTTCTTCTACTATAGCATATCTGGCAAATATCAACCAGATAGCAAAAACATAAATTCATTTGAAACAATTAAAATAGAACGTAAATATTCAGGATTACCAACAAAGCAACACTAACCCGATGCCTCTGGTTCCGCCAGTGACAAGGGCGGTCATGCCCTCAAGAGACCATCTTTGTTTTCTGACTTCCGACATTTTCTTTTTTCTTTCAATTGTTACTGCAAATTTCTTCTCAAATTTACGTATATAAGAACTGCTAGTATTTAAATGTAGGAGGCTGAAGCTTGTACAACAACTATCTGTGAAAAAGCTTTAGCGTTTTGTGGTCACGCAGCACAAAAATACAGTAAAAATGTAGAAAGGTTCGCAGCACCAAAATTAAACGTAAAAGTTAAAATGCTTTCGTCACACAACACTAAAATAAGAAAATAAAATAAAATACAATACTGAAGAAATCATAAACGTTCAAAATGGGCCGGCCTTGTTCAGACTGTAGACAATTATAAAACAATAGTTTAGTCATTTGACTCATTTCCAGTCTGGCCACTGGCCAGTCGCTCTCGTTCCCGAATATATTCTCCAATTGCTCCGTAACCTCCGTTTAATTACAAAAGCAGCCTGTGTTCTTAAATTGTTAATTAGTACTAGAATCAATAATATATAAAGTTAAAATCTTAATAGATAAAATATAATCATTTTATATTCTATGATTAGTGTTGTATATACATAAAATAATTACATTAGTTGGAATCAGAATTTTATATTCATAATGTAATGGTATTCATTTCTTAAAGATTATCATCAGAGTGTTTGTTGATAATTATGACAATGATTATTAAAATAATATTGTGGTGGTTACTTAATAAATAGAAAATTATATTAATTATGATTGAATAATTATGTAATTATTTTCCGAATAATACTATTCATCCCGAATTTTATATCTCAAAACTGTATTATCACATTGATATTGTCATATCATGTTATGCATCATCTCTTTATTTACATGTCAATACCGCATATAATAACATATCATTTAGAAATATGAAATTTGAGATAAATTGTAAGAAGAATAATATTTTTATTTCTTTTCTATTTTATCCGTATTGGAAGAGCTTCTTTAAAGATAAATGTTGAGTTAATGTAGTATTACTCTTTAGCAATACTACTAAGACTTAGGTACTGATCTTTGAACCCCACTTATTTGATCAGTTGACCCATTTAAATCGTAAATTTGTAATAAATTTAAAATAAATGGTACTCAGTTAAAGGGTGGGTGTACTTAGTAAAATTCTCGTTTTTGTATAAAGAAATTTACAATTTTTGTCTTTCACTACAATTCATTAGGATCTCTCATATTTAACAAATTAACATTCTTTTTTTCCTTCTAATAATTCGATTTGCTGTTTTTATCAATCTTTTTTATATTGATCAGATCTATAGTTTTGATAAGTGTTATGCCTCAAAAAGTCAAGCCTATGTCAGCACAATTAATGTCTCTCTGTACCAGCTGCCAAGCCCATACTCCAAAGATATTCTCACCAACTTTATCTCATTTCAAAGAGATGAATGGACGAGAGCCTTCCATGTGTCAAGGCAGTTTGCAAAAGCTCTCATTGCATTGAGTGCAAATGTGAATAAATGGATTTTCTCTTCCCGAAGAAGGGAGGCTGGTGGCTGGGATGAGATTTAGCTTCAATTCTTTCTCTCTGTAAAAACACTGTATTTCTTCATCTTTGTATGCCTTACGGGCAAATTCATAGAAATAGTGAGAGATCAATAAAATAACAGTGGATGTAGGAGTCGCTTCTTGAGCATCCGAACCACTATAAAAACCCCTCTTGCCAATCTTTTACTTATTTTTTCTGCAAAATATATAATCNAAAGTGACTCTATTTTGGTGATAAAAATACCTCATGTGTGATTAAATTGAAGTATATTGAGACAATTAAAGAATTTATGAATTTATTCACGAAAATCGCTTCCTAATATTTTTCTTATGAATTTAACGTGTTTGGAATGATTTTGGAAAGGATATGAGTTGATATTAGGTTGTGGTTTATGAATTAGGGGTGATTTTGTCTCATTTATGCTTTTTAGGGGGTAAATTGTCATATTTATAAGGGCTGATATTGTCACTTTTCAATCATGCAGGGACCAAAGTGATATTTTCCACTTTGTGTATAAAAGAAGATGAAGCGTCAAAAAGCCACAACGCCGACACCCATCCATAGTATTTTCTGGCGACTCTTCCTCTTCCATTTCCGGTGATCTCCGGCGACCTTTCACCTTCCATAAGCACCGACCAAAACCACCGCAAATCACGCAAAACACTGCGACTCTTCACATTCCGCCGTCGCGACGTTTCGCCTTCTAGGCCAGATTTCGCCATTTTTCGACAACGTTTCAGCTCCCTAGGACTTTATCTTCCTTCCTCACGGCCGAATCTGCCTATTCCAAGCTTCAGCTGCCGCGAAAACCGCCAGAATCTGCTATCTAGCCGTCGTGCCTCTTCATCTTATAGCCGAGATCTTGCTCATCTGCAGCGACCCTTCACCTCCCCAGGACCTGATCTGAACTCCCCATCATCAGAGCTTTCCATCAGTACCTTCGGATCTCATTTCCGCCACCATTTTTTGGAAGACCCGCCGAAAAATTAATGTTTTTCGACGAGTGCGACTGTTCATATTTCGAGCTATTCGTTGGTCGTTTTCACCCCTTCTTTGTATCATATCGCTGTCAGTTATCTCCTCTCCGCCATGATCAGCTTCGTTTCCACCGTTTTAGCCTCCGTCATCACCACCATGAGCGGCTAAGTTCCTGGTTGTCTGTTACGGCGTAGGCGAGATCGAGATTGACTCCACGGCTCTCTGCATCAGCTCTTGACTAGTTGGATGAGCCCGATTGTAGGACATTTGGTAGTATTGTGTTTCAAATTATATTTGTTTTCGTTTCATGTTTGAATTCGATACTTTAATATGATTTGAGCATAATTTGTGATGAATATTATTGTCCATTGTGATTTAATGTTTTCATAGAACTTGCTGAATGATAAACGTTGGTTTGAAATAATTGAATGATGAATATTGCTTTTCATTACTTCGCATCGATTGTAATTGAGTTGTATTCGGATTTAATTTTATTTCTACTATTGTTGTGTTTATTGTGAAGTTGGTTGATTGGAAGATACGTGTTGACAAATTGTATTTGTTAATCGCGTACCAACTAGTGGTATTGTCTTGTAACGTTTATCAGCATTTAATGATAGTCTTTAACCAATCGAACTTGAGTGATTGGGTGAGACAGGATAGATTATACCTAGAGTGACGGCAAACCATTTCATTGATTTACCTTGCCTTGTAAGTTTAGGGGATCGTAGAGGGTGGAGCAGAATTGTGTGAGTTGGTCTCGTGTCGAACCGAAACCGTAACGACAATGTTTTTATTATAAAGTCTTTATTAGTTTTAATTTCACTCTTTTATTATTTGCATTTAGTTTGTTTAGTTTCATTAATCAATTTGCCAATTTCATTTCCGCTACTCAAAATACATTAGGTTGTTAGTCTTGCTCCCTGTGGATTCGACCCTACTTATCGCTAACTATGGTATTTAGGTTTAGTTTTGTGACTGTGACAACCGGTTCGACAAAAGTTTGGTGTCGTTGTCAGGGAGTAACGTGCTTTTGACTTTGTGTGTTTGGGTAGTCATTAGTTTTTATTCTAGGTTTATTTTAGTCTTTGTTTTTGTTTGTAAGTGTTATTTTCTTTGTAGTGATTTCTTTGATTGGGTGAATTGTTTAATTTTTGTATTCCGTTTAGTTTGTCTCTTTGCATTGTTGGTTAATTATTTTCTTTTTAGGTTGTTTGCGTAATTTTATATTACTTCGTTTTATTTTATTTTCATTGGAATAATTTTATTTGGGTTTGTTTTTGTTTTGCAAGAAAATTGCAATTGGGAAAACGCTTCAGCATGTTGTGAGCATTAAAGATCCTGCACGACCCGATTGTGAAATTCTCTTAACCTTTGATTTTTTTATTCCTAGGATTTAATTTTTGTTCTTAGTATTAAATTCTTTTAGGTTGCATTGATAACTTTAGTTTTGATTAAGCATATTTGTTGAGTGAAATTTTGTTGGGTATAGTTTTGTTAGATTTTAGATTTGTTTTAGTTTGGTTTCGTGTGCTTATTAAAATTTGTTTCTTAGGATTTGCATTTAGATAATTTTCTTTGAGATTGTTGTTGCGTTGCTTGTTGAGCCTTTTGTGTGTTTGATTGATGAATGCAAACTAGAAGGTCTTGTAATGAAGAGTTATTACCTTTGAATCTTGAAATTGAACGCACTTGTAAGAGGAATAGAAAACAAGCACGTAGGATGGCTGACCAGGATGAACCCGCACATGTGCCCCTTAGCCAACATTTCGCACCCACCACCTACACTTCAACCTCATGTATCTGTATCCCCAATGTCCAGACACAACACCATGAGATCAAAACTAGTGTCATCCACCAATTTATTATGGGAATTTAAATGAGGAGCCATACAAATACTTAGATGAATTTTTAGAGGTTTGCTCCACAGTTAGACTTCAACATGTGAATGAAGATGTCATGTGCTTAACTTTATTCCCATTCTCACTTAAGGATCGAGCCAAACAGTGGCTCAATTCTTTGGCAGTAGGGTCCATTATCTCTTGGGTCCAAATGTAACAAGGATTCCTAAAAAAGTATTATCCGATTGGTAAAACCAACAGTATAAGACGAGCCATTACTAGTTTCGCTCAACTTGATGGCGAGGAATTTTATGAGAGTTGGGAACGTTTGAAGGAAATGCTTAGGAAGTGTCCCCATCACGCAGTCCCTAGGTGGAAATTAGTTCGTAGTTTTTATAACGGACTAACCGAGAGGCATAGGAATATGGTAGAAGCCTCTTGTAGAGGAACATTTATGCACAAGGACGAGAATGAGTTATGGCAACTCTTTGAGACCTTAAGTGAAAATTCAATGCACCACATTTTTGCGTCTAGAATGCCTATTTCAGGGCATCCATCCAAGAAGGGTGGCGTGTATGAGGTGTCACGGTTAGATGACATTAGCTCCAAGTTAGAGGTGTTGGCCCACCGATTTGACCAGTTTGTATCTATTCAAAGGCAACCCTCTACACAATCATCTCAGAATAGGGCGAACCAAGATGTTTTTGCCATGCACTCCACTCTTGACCATCCAATTGAGGAACCCGCCCTTGACCCTTTTGA